CAGGGGGCATAGGCTCAGGGTCGCAGGCGAGTTCGTGGCGCGCGAGGCGTGCGGATCCTATGCGCGAGGCGCGGCTCGAAGAGGCCTGCTGCTGCCTTGCGATCCAGCCCAACTCCGTCGAGAGCCGAACAGGCGCGATCGTTTGAATAGTTTTTTGCTGGGTTTTCGCCCCGACGACCCTAGTATCATGATTTCTTTCCATCGTGCCCTTGTCGTTGGTGAATGAGGCTTTGCCATGGCTTTTGCTCGCGTGATTTGTTCGCGTTCGTCTGTTATGTTTGTCGTCATCTCCAATTAGGCGCGGACAGGACGCCCTGGCCACAATGCTCGTCTGGGTCGTTGGGGCACCTCTTCGCTCGTTCCGCTCATTCGACGCGCGCGGCGCTCGATCCGAGCTCGGTCCCGATCATCGTCATCATCAGCATCGTCATCATCATGATCAACATCGTTATCATCAGCATCAGTATCATCTTCATCAGCATCATCACCACCATCATCCTCATACTCGTCATCATCACCATCATCACTACAACCACCCGCATCGATGTCATCATAGCATGATCAGCAACGTCCGCATCATTATCACCATCACAATCTTTCTTCATCATCATCACCATCAGCAACAGCATCCATATCGTCATCGTTATCCTCACCGTCGTCAATGTCACCTCTTCCTCCTTTTCCCCCTCCTCTTGGACGGCTGCGCGGTTCGCGCGCACGACATGCTGTCGAGGATGCCTGGCGGGTTTGGCAGCCAGACGCTTGCGTCTCAGAGGCTTACCGTGGGGAGCATCGCTCGATGCGCCTGGCGGCAAATCTTCTGGACAGGCCGTAATTTGATCTTGCACATTGTTCTTGGCAATGGTCATTTGCACATCGATGGCCCACACGCTCATCATCCACTACTTGACGAGTACGCTTCAACATACGAGCAGCTCAACCTGCAATGACACTAACGACAGGTTCAGCAAGCAGCATGGCGACTCCAACCGAATTTTGCCCCCGAGCAAGATGCAGTACTTCAACGGCGGGAACAGGGCGCATGCAAACGCGCTTCTCTTTGGGCTCCCTTTCGCAAGCGACTAGTTCACGATGGGCTTCAACTTCACAGCGCTGGTGCTGCTGGTCCCGTTGCTGCCTATCTTCCTTGGTCTCGAGGCGCTCCAGGCTGCTGATGAGGAGATCGACGAGTTCCTGGATGATACGCTGCCGCTGCAACCCACAAGGGACCTGCCCATGCCGACGGTGGAACAGCTGCGGCACGCCTTGCGCCGTGCCCGCTGCGCTGCCCCTGGCCCTGACGGACTCCCAGTGGATGCATGGTTAGCGTCTGTCAATGCCGTGGACAATGTGCATGCTTTTTCTGGTCCAGTTGTTCGACGGCTCTGCCTTGATGCCTGGCCACAATGACAGCCTGTTCGCGTTTCTCCCCAGAGGCATTGCGGACGAGTGGCGGTCAGGCCTGATCGACTGCGTGCGCACGCCAGGCGCGACGAGGCCGAGGAGTCTGCATCTGTCATACACCACCATCTGCAAATCATAACTGCGTCTTCGGCGGTTCTTTCTCTACACGGCTTCATTGCGGGTAGAAATGTTGTCAGCCACATTCTTCCCATGGACACGGAGGCTAGACGCGCGTACCTTGACCCCAGACCAGCGTAGGACCAAGTTGTGTCTATCAGCTTCGATGTTGCATCGGTTTTTGATCCGAGTATGTGCTGACGTTTTTTCTTCCGTGTCTTAGATCGGTTCAACATACGTCCCTTTAGACTACAAGCTACCTGTCCAAGATATGTACACCTACATGGAGAGATCGATCCGCCTTGGAGGGGTGAACCAGTTCTCGATCCCCATCCGACCTGGAGTTGTTCAAGGCTGCCCTCTCAGCGGGACTCTGTGGGCGCTCGGACTTGACCCTTTCCTCCGCCTTCTCACTCGTTTACTTCCCTCTCCCTCGATTGGCACCATGGGCGCGTGCGCTGATGACGTCGGCACTGTCTTCCGCCCACTGCAATCAATCAGAGTCCGAGAGCCGCCGTTGCAGCGACTCCAGCGAATGGCCACGCTTAAGCTGCAGCCGAGTAAGTGTAGAGTGGTGTTTCTATGGGAGCAGCTCTCGCCCACGGCCAACTCTTGTATCCGGGATTGCGCCAAATACCTGGGCAGCTTCATCGGCCATAGGGTTTCTCTGGACCTGGTCTGGGACGGCCCGCATCAACCATACGTCAAACGCTGCAAGGAATTAGGCATCCTGCACGGCTCCTCTGACGTGAACGCCCGTCTAAATAATTCAGCAGTCGTCGCGTGCTTCTCGCAGTTGAGCTAATATGACCCGCTCGCGCGTTCCATCATACGACGTCAGCTCTGGGGCGTGCACAAATGCCTACACATCCCCCCAGTTCCTTCGCCCTCTCGGAGCTCCTGTCGTTGTCCTCGTGGTCCCCCTCCCCTCCCCCCCGCTCTCTTGCCGCGACAGCCCTGGCGAACGCGTGGCGTTCAGCATCGGTCACCCTCGTCCAGCGGTGGGGCCAACTATACCACCGCCAAGAGCAGGCTGCCAATGTCGTCTTAGGAAACGTTGATCGCATCCCACTCGTTGGCCTCTTACGAGGAAAGTGGTGCGCTCCCTCTTGACAGTCGAAGCAATCGGTTGTGCAGTACTATGCCCAGCTTCGCGATGCTCTGCCATGCCGCCAGCCCCCCCGCGACACCCCGCAGATGCTCCTCGCCCAGAGACTTGGCCAGGAGGCCATGCGTAGGGCCGCCCTGGAGGGGCGTCGGCCCAAAATGCAGGGTGATTTCTTTCGGGCTGTATCCTCTTCGGCCTTTCTCTATAAAATGGAGCACCAATTGGGCGTCGCCTACGGCCGTTGTTCGATTGCCCCCTCCCCCGACGTTTCCATGAACGATGGGACCTCGTGCGGGAAGTCCTGATTGGGGCCCCTCCGAGCACTCGCTGGCCGTATCGTAAGACCGTCGCGGGAGGCTGGACCACCACGGACCGAGTGCACGTTACAGACGATCAATGGTCTTGCATGTTTGGGTTCTCCTGTCCAGAGACAGCATTGCTCACTACCTTCGCTGCCCTCGCCTCTTCCATCTCGTTTGTCGTCCTCGTGCTACCATCCCCCCGTGCCCTATCCTCCAAGGGCTCGGCTTCTCCATCCAATATCCTGCGCTTGACCTCACCCGAGAAAATGTCATCCTCGTCACCGCCTGTAGCTTCTACACAAACCACATTGCTGAAGAGATTGCGGGTCGGCTACAAGGAGTGGCGCTCTCGGTTCCTCAGCAGTTCGAAGCGCTCCAAGCCGTTCGCACGAAGATGCCCGGCGATTACTCGATTCTTCTTTCTCCGCCCCACGAGCCCAGGCCATACAGACGGCTTAGGCCCAGGCGTCGAGGCTGAGCTCATCGACCGACATGGGAAGGTACTGGCGCTCCTCCTCTTCCTCCTCCTCCTCTGGAGAAGGAGGACGAGTAGGACAGGAAGGAGAGGGGAATGAGAGGGAGAAAGGGGAGAAGGAGGATGAGGAGAAGAAGACAAGGAGGAGGAGGAGGAGGAGGAGGAGGAACGGAAGGAGGAGAGGCGGAGGAGAGGAAGCGGAGAGGGAGGAGGGGAGGGAGAACGAGGAGGAGAAGGAGGAGGAGGAGAAGGAGGACTCTGGAGCGGAATCAGGATGAGACGTGCGCGCGGCGAAGCGGGGAGGAAGCGAGGACCCCAAGCTCCCTGTGGGATGCGAAACGTCCGATACGGAGTTGAAGTGGGCACAGCGCCACTACGGTCGAGGCTGGTTAGTAGGGCGACCATGCCAAATCAAGGGCACTGTTGTGTCCTGCGTTTCGCGGCCCGTGCCTTCTGCAATCTTATGTCAATCTGGCCCTGGGACGGGTCTTTTGTGTCCTCTCGCGTGTCTCTCGCGTGCTGAAGTGGGCGCAGCGCCACTACGGCGACACCAGCGGCATCTGCACTGCGGAGGGGACGGCAGAGGGCGTCAGCGCGCGGCCAAGACGGCCCGGCCTGGCGCGCCGCATCCCAAAGGGCCCCCGCCCCGCGGGGGCACGTTCGCAGGCCCGTCCCGCCCCCGCGAGGACGCTCTGCCCAGGGCACGCGCACTGTAAGCATGGAAGCGGGCGCGAGCATTCTTCTCTACGAGCGTATGCGAGTGGCTATAGGGAGCTGCCGGTGGGGCGCAAAACGTGGGAGGGAATTGTGGCCATCGGGGTCCCCGTGGGGCCAGACACGTGGACGGGGTGTGCCGAAATGGGCGCCACGCTGGCCACGCGATTTTCGCCACTGAGTGGGGCTCCCTGTTGGGCACGGAGCGAGTGAGGGGTGTGCTGAAATCAACGCGGTGCCGCCATAAGAACTCCGCCGCTGGAGCCATCGGTTGCGCCCTGTAGGGCACAAAACGTGTGAGAGGTGGTTCTGCGGATCCCGCAGCTGGGGCCATTGGCGCCATTGCGGCAACTGCGTGCTTGCGGGGCACGGGCACGAAACGTGTGATGGGTGTGCGGAGATGGGGGCAGCGCCACCACGCGATCTCCGCAGTTGGGGCCATGGGCGCGAAACGTCTGAAGGGTGAGCTGCCGTGGGCGCGGCGCCGCCATACGAGTTACGGCCACAGGTGGGTCTCTCTCTGGGGTCACGAGATTGGCATGCGGATTGTGGAGCGGTCTGGGGGAAAGGGAGGAGGCGGAGGCGTGCGCGTGACGAAAGGGGGATGCGGAAAGGGGCTGTGGTTTGAGCCGTTTCTTCCTCCCGTTTCTCCCTCGTCCACATCGCCTCCTTCTATCCCCCCTCTCCCGTTTCCTTTCTGCCCCTACCTCGCTCTCTTCCTCTCTTCTTTCCCTCCCTCTTGCTATGATCGCCTTCCTTTAAACAACCTTCACATGTAACATGCTTGATGCCCCCCCTCCCTTCCACCGAGCCGTGGGCGTCAGGAAACTCCAAGGAAACTCCCTCTCCCTTCCCTCATCTCTACCCGTCACGCCCGCAGGACGTCGTTTATTGGTCCAGGATACCAGACATGGACTCGCACGTCGCGTGCGCCTCGGCCTCGGACGCGGGGGGGCGGGGCGCGTGTGCCTGGACGTGGATATGTGGGAGGAGGCGCAGGAGAAGGAGGCGGAGGAGGCGTGGATCTCCTCGGTCGTGCGCCGATTCGGTCCCCGCTTGGGCGCCCTCTTGGGGCCCTCTTCGGCCCCCCCCAGAAAGTCACGCGACCAGACGCCCCAAACCCCGGGGGCCACGCTATATGCCCCGGATGATTTGGCAACTTGCGATCAGGGCCCTTTTACTCCCACTTGTGCCTCAATGTCAAGGTGGCGGACAGACTAACTTCCCCCCACCCGAATTTATCGACACCCCGTGGGACACTGGAATTCACATTTGCTTTCCTGGGGATACTTGTATCACCTCCCCCCGCCACTCTTGTCAAATCCGCCGACGCTTCGGCGTGTGGGAGACGCTGTCGTCGTCGCCTCTGTCGGTCCGACGGAAACGGAGGAACAAGGAAAAGGAACGTCGTCGAAGGGAAGTCCCTTCCCTTTAGCCCTTCTCTCCTGGGGTGAGGGGGCGCCTGTTCCTTTTACCCCTTCCCTGCGTGGGGGGGGGGTCCTGTGGGGGCGGGTCGAGGCACCGCCTCCTCGGGGGGCGGGGAAGGGGGCCCCGAGTCAGAATGGCGCCCCCCTGGGGTCCCGGGGGGGCGTCGCCAGCGGGGGTCTTGGGGGATCTCACGCTTTCAGGATCGGCAGTACATTTGTTTTTTGCTAGGAGAATAGTTTCAGCGGCGTTTGCACTGAGTTGCCAACTCCACTGCGAGCGCAATCGTCCCACCAACCCACCCGCAAGTTGTTTCGCAATTTGGTTTGCAAAACGCTGGCGCATCGCCGCTGCCGCGCTGGCGCGCGCAGACTCGCGCGCACTTCGACCAGCTAGCCTGGCGCGACCGACGCGGCCGCGGTGGCGCTCACCGCTGGGCACTTCTGAGCGCGTCCCGCTGGCCGCGCTGACGCGCGGGCACTGCTGTGCGAGTCGGTGACCTCGGCGGGCGCATTATCATGGCGACGTCGACAACGGCTGTCACGGAAATGATAGCAGCTGTGACGGTAATGACGATGACGATGACGACGGCAAGGCCAATGGCGGCGCCGACGATCATCGCGCCAATGAAGATGATGGTGCCCGCGTGTCGGCGGCGCTGCCGACGGGCGCGAGTGGCCCGCGCGGCATCGTTTGAAACGCGGGCCGCGCCCCCCCCCCCCTCCCTCCCCAGCATGCGCGCCGACGATGATCGCGCCGATGAAGAAGATGGCGCCCGCATGTCGGCGGTGATTTTTTGAAGGGTTTCGAAATGCGCTCGCTGCCGACGGGCGCGAGTGGCCCGCGTGGCATCGCTTGAAAAGCGGGTCGCGCCCCCCCCGTCACCTTTCGCGCGCGCAAGGGCAATCGAGTGGCTTCGACGCGCGCGCAACATGCTCGTTTGGTCGCATCTGAAGAACATGTTAGGGAACCGGTGTTTCCTTTGCGTCGTTTGACTACGCAGGGGCGCGCGCGGATTTCTCACGGATTTTTCTTTGGCACATTACGGCGTTGAGCCAAATGGTGCCCTTGGTTTTGAAACACTTTACGGCCCCCCAGGTTGCGAGGGATTTCGGCGCGCGCAGCGACGCGCGCGCGTAGACCGGGTCTCCTGGTTTTGCCAAGGAAAAAGAGCATTGACCACTCTTGCGAAACAAGCGTCGTTTTTTTGTCCGAGGGATGGCCGATAAACTTGGGCGGGTGGGCGCGCGGTAGATCTCAACGTCTGTTTATCCTGAGAGCGCGCGCGTTTCCCCCCACGTGCTGCAATGGATTCGTGAACAACTTGGAGTTGACAACTATTTTGTCCGTGCAACTGGCCCACTCGCCCACCTGCGACTTGGTCTGCAAAACCAATGCGGCGGCGATTGCGACGAGTGCTTCGGGCTGACTGGCGCATCGCCGCGGCCGCGGTCGCCCGCGCATGCCCCCGCGCGTCGCGGCCGGCTCGGCTCGTCCGGCGCGGCCGACGCGGCCCAGGTGGCGCTGGCCGCTGGGCTCTTCTCAGCGCTGACGCGCGGGCCCCTAGGCTCTTCTCACCGCTGGGCCGCGCTGGCGCGCGGGCACTCCGGTCGGTGACCTGGGCTGGCGCGGCATCATGGCGACGTCGACAACGGCAGACGCGATCAGAAGAATAGCGACGATGGCGGCGATCACGGCGACGACGGCCAGCGACGGCACCGACGCTTTTCACGCCAATGAGAATGATGGCGTTGACGCGTCGGTGATGAAGTTTTCGTTTTGAGCGGATTTCGGCATGCGCGCGCGAGCGACGCGCGCGAGTGGCCCGCGCGGCATTCGTTAACAGGGGTCGCCCCCCCCCCCCCCCCCCCCCCCCACACACGCACACACACGCACGCACGCACGCACGCACGCACGCACGCACACACACACAAACACACACACACACACACACACACACACACACACACACACACACACACACCTCAGCACGCGCGCAAGGGCATTCGAACGGTGTCGACACGCGCGCACGAGAGGCCCGTTTGGTCGTGTTTGATGAGCATGTAGAACACAAGTGAAGCACGCGCAAGGGCGCGCGCGCAGACGCGCATTGGGAACTCGCGTTGCCAGACCAGGTAGTTCGCATGTTTTCGGGGCGCTCGATTTTGAAATCTGCCCGGGACCTTTGTTTCCAACCATCCCGCGGTGTTGGGTCCTCGTTTTCAAGAGAGACGGTCCTCGCGTCTCCTCTCTCGCCCCCTCTTCCTCTTCTCCCCCCCTCCTCCCGTCGCCCCCGCGCTGAGGCGTTCCCCTCGCGCGTTTCGCGGCCCCGCGTGGAGCGCCCCCCAAGGCCCCAGCGGCTGCGCTGACATGCCGCCCCCCGCCCACACTTTGGCACGCCCATCGCGCGTCTGGTGGCCCCATAGGGAAGTCCACCCGCGGCCCACGCGGCCGCGCTCGAACGCCGCCCCCCCCCACACACACACGCACACACACACACACACACACACACACACACGCACACACACACACACCGCCCCACCCCCCGCCCCCGCCCCGCTACCGCCGCGCGCGCGCCACTATTGCGCGGCCCTCGCGTGCTTCGTGGCTCCGCCGCGGGGGGCCCCGCCGACGGCCCCAGAAGCGGCGTCCGCGCGCGCCCTTTACCCAGCACAGCGCTTCGCGGCCCCATAGGGCGCTCCACCGACCGAAGGCCCCGGCGGCAGTGTCCGCATGCGTTTCCCCGCCCAGCACCGCGCTTCATGGCCCCATGGGCAGCTCCGCCGAATTGCCCCGGAGGCGGCGCCCGCGTGTTTTCCCCCGCGCAGTTTAGCGATACGTGGCCAATAAGAGAGCCCCACCGAAGGCTCCAGAGGCGGCCGCGTGAGGCGTGTCTCTTGGGCCCACTGGCGGCCGCTCTTGAGCGCGTGTGAGGCGCGTTTCTTTGGCCCGCTGGTGGCCGCATTTGGGCGCGCGCGAGGCGCGTCTCCTGGGTCCACTGGTGGCCGCGAATGTGCATGGTGAGGCGTGCCTCCTGGGCCCTCTGGCGGCCGCATCTATGCGCGTGTGTGGCGTGGCTCTTGAGCCCGTAGGGGTGGCTGCGTTTTCGCGCGTGAATCGCGCGATGCCATGGTCCCCTGGCGGCCGCGCCGGGATCCTGCGCGCGGCGCGGCGGTGGCTGGGCAGTCGCGGCGCAGCGCAAACGTCAGCAGTTCTGCTCGCGGGATCGGGGCTCGCAGTTGTGCGACCACCGTGGCAGAGTTTGCCGTTCATGCCTGGGCGGCCAAGGCCGAGTCCGGGGCCCTGCGGGGAGAACAGTTGCACAGGAATCTGGTTGAGGCGCTGATGCAGGCAGGATGACGTCGCTCACTGGGCCCACCTGCTAGAGGCGGGCCCGGGCTCGCTGGAGGGCTTCGACTCGGTTGGAAAAGCGAGCGCCCGACGCGCGGGGGCCGTTGGCCTGCCGAAGCGGTTTGGCAGGCGGGGCGCGTCAAAGAATTAGTCCGCGCGGCGCGCGAGCAGAAAGGCTTCGGCCAGGGGCGGATCGCGCCAGCGGCGGGCGATCTTTCCTACCTCGCAGAAGTGCTGCGTTCCACGCGCGAACCGACAGCCAAGCACGCGGCGATTGTGCCCGCCATGCATCAATCAGGCGGGGGCGGCGGCGCGGTCGCCAGCCGCGCGCGCTTCGCTGGGCGCCGGGGCGACATGCGCCTATCCACGACCTGCCGCCGCCCCTCTGTCCATCATCTGCTGCGGTCGACGCCCTGGAGGCTCAGGCAGCAAAGCTGCGGTGCGAGGGCGCGGCCCGCCCGTGCGTTTCGCCGGACCTCAAGGCGATCTTCGCTCCGCGCGCGTCCGCGCGGCTCGCTCTGTTGGCGCGCGTCGCAGGCATTCCTGCCCTTCCAGCGGATCCTTCGGAGGCAGGGGCCCAGGAATGGTTGCTGCCGTTCAATCAGCGGCGCGCAGCCTTCGATGCGCACGCGGCCGCGGCAGCGATGTTTGACGATCAGCCGAGCTTTATGTTCTTACATATTCATAAGCACCACGCGTTGCAGTCGCGACGCCCGAAGCGCGCGGCGGCGTGGCCTCGCGGGCGCGCGGCGCAGGTGGCCGCGCGCGCGAGTCCGTTTGACGAGCGACCGGCCTCGGCGTGGCACTTGGACGCGGCGGCGCGCCGCTCGCGGGCAGAGAGATCCAGGGCGGGCGACCCGAACTTCGAGGCTCGCGCGACGCGCGCGCGTGCGTCTTTGCGCTCGCCTCGTTTTTCCTTTGCGTTGAAGGCAAGCCACGGTGCGCAGACTCGGGGCGAGGGCATGCTGCGAGGGGGCGCGGCCGCGCTCGACGCGGCAGAGTGCGAGCCAGCGAAGGCAGCGACGCCCCGCAAGGAGGCCCCGGCAGGGTGCGACCGCGGCGGGATGGGAGGCCAGGCGCGCGACCGTTGGAGCGACTGGCACCCGTCCGCGGGGTCTGCCGCGAGCGGTCACCGCGGCGGCTGGGACAGTCGCGGCGGCTGGAACG